AGCTACTTTCTGGCCATTTCTGTTCGCCCTGAACGGTTGCGCCTTTCGAGTATGCAATGATTTTTTTATTTCGACCTTTTTAGCGATCCCCTGTCGGGTATGCAATGATTTTTTTCTGGCGGCTTTTTTAGCTACTTTCTGGCCATTTCTGTTCGCCTGGTATTTCAACTGAATTTTCGTTTAAATTTGCAGACCCAACGGGCTAGGAGCATTATGACGGTTAATTTTTTTAAATAAAATCTCCCCCTATTGTAGTAAATAAAAAGCCAATTATGTTTAGTTTTTAATATGATTTATTTTAAACTCTTAACAGTTACAAATTTATTATTAAATACAACTACTTAATTTATTTATAGCTTTTATAAACGAAATTTATTTAATAAATTTATTGTTTAGTTCTTAAAAAAAAAAAAAACTATTATTTGTTGTTTTTTTTTTTTAAACTATTGATGGACATTTTCCTGGCAGCTTAGAGTCTATACTGCGTTTTTGCGGGTTTGGGCAGGGCTATTGCATAGATCTGAAAAGACAAAAAAGAATATTAGAATTTATAAAGTAAATCAAGTCTATTTTTAATCAAACTCGAGTTTTTTTTATGGCTTATCTGTACATTTTAAATCTATATTTTATTATTATTATTATTTTTTTTTTTTCATATTTCCTGCAGGGTAACTATGCGTAGCTAGTTTACTCTTAGCATATAGCATTGTTTGCGTAGTTTTCTTTTATATATAAACAAATTATGTGCATTTTGAGCATAAACAAAGAGAAAATTCGAATTGGAAGGTAAGTATTTAACAAATTAAACCATTTAGTCGACAGGAAATGCTATGCGCTTTTCCGGTGCTTAAATTACACATGAGTTACGTTTTAAAGCGTGCTATATATATACATATTGCATATATACATATATCTATATTCGATTTCACACACATGCACACGCACGAACGCCATAAATTGCCATCAACAGAATTTCAGCACGATTAACTCGATAAAAATGATACAAAACGTAAATGGTGTGTGTGTGAGTGTGTGAGGGAATGTGATAGTGAGAGTGTGCGTGTGTGTGTGTGAGTGAGTGTGATAGCGATAGTGTGTGTGGCGTATGCCACATGTTGCCCAGCAACGTTTTTAATCAATTTAATCGCGTCATTTAATTGAATTAAAGGCAATCAATAAATTGCACATGCAATTGCAATTTCACCCATCGAATAGTCCAAATGTGAAAACTTTGCTAAAATCTGTGCCGAGGTAAGCGCTGCGTTTCCACAGTTTAACAATTCATCAATTCAGCTTTCCACACGACAACAAACACACACACACACACATACATAGACACACATACTTCAGGCATGTTTTGTTGCTTACTTACGTACGTCTAAGCTCCGTCATCAAACCTGGAAAAGGAAAAGTCAATCAGAGCAAAAAGAAAAGCAAATCAAATATAAATTGAAAAGTTTTTGTATCATATGTAAATGTTACTATATGCTATGTTTTATAACTGACTTACTTAAGCTCATCATATATACATATATATATATATATATATATTGATTCCAATCGAAAGTTTTATGCCCGTTCCTTTCTCTTACTCGTTCACTCAATTCACACACACACACACACATACACACAGAGACACACACTTTCTCGTTATCGCTCTCTCTCTCTCTTTCTAACTCTCGATGTGTATATATAAATTTGACAGTTTATTCAAGTTTTGTTAAATTAAGTTGCCTTTGCAACTCAACTCGTTGATTCTTTCTCTCTCGCTCTCGCTCTCTCTGTGTGTGTGCGTGTGTGTGCCTCTCTCTTTTTTTTTTTTTTGCAATCGCTAGAACCGCCCAAATAAAATGAAATGCTATTCTTTCATTTTCAACCAAAAATGCCAACTGCCAACCAACCACAACCACCCAACCACAACCAACATCAGCAACCACCAGTTTGAAAACCAGTTCCCGCAGCTCACTGCAGCATGCATCACAACAGTAAAGAAAACTACAAGAACAACAATAACTGCAACAACAACAACAACAACAGCAACACAGCAACGCCTGCGTATGATAAATAATCAAATAACAAAATATTTATCAATTACAATTTATCACTTGGCTAAAATAACATTTCCCGCAATAACAACTCGGACAGCCTAGAACAACAAGAAACCTTTCTCTTTGTCTCTTTGATATTTGGCATGCTCTGTCTCGCTCTCTCACTATCTCTGTCTCAGCCAAACTCTGAGCGCACCTTTCCCTCCGACTCTAGTCAAATGTTTCCCAACTTTTGTCTTTATTACGTGCTTAATTGATAAAATTTGTACTTTCTAGACGATTTCGACGAGTTCTTTTAGTCTAATAGAACAAATACACACACACACACAAACAAACAAACACGTTTATAAACTTATCCAAACTGGGTTAGACTCGCAATCCGCATTACCTTTCAAAGATACAAGCATACCTCACTGCAAATGCTGAAATATTTTTGAGAGCTCTACATTAGATTTTTGAAATAAATAAATACAAATTATAAACAAATACAAATCTATAATAGGCAATAAACACTAAATGAAGATATATAGCTTAGATTGTACACTTAGTTGTTGGCCACGTTAAACCCCAAAAAAAAAAAGCAAAAAAACTTCTCTCTCTGTCTGCAAACGAAGCTGCGAACTGGCTCAAGTAAGTAGCAATTGCTGTCATATAGCCAATATACCCAATAGCATATATATATATACTATATATCACTATTTTATCATAGATCTCTTAGAGATGCTTTAGCTATTTGATTTGCAAACACATTTGATTTGATTTTCGCTCTTTTTTTTTTTTTTTGTTCACCTGCAACTACAACTATATAATTTCTCTTAGTAATACGAAAAAAAATAAAATAAAACACAACTTTAGTAGCGCAATAAATAGCAACAAATTCTAGTCAAATCAAGCAAATTTTTTCTCTTTTAAATATATTTTAAACAATCTACCAACACATATTATATATGCCATATTTGATTTCCTCATGCCAGATCATTTCGCTACAGGAGGAGGAGGATACCATAAGGGATAAGGCCTGAGAACCGCACTTGGCTAATGCATAAACGTTAATTACACTAGTGAACTAAGTAAATGTCTTAAATGTTAAGCAATAATTGAGCAATTGGCTTCAACACACACACACACACACACACACACACACCCGTACACCCAAACACGCCTACACTCACATACTAAGCCCCAAAAACTCAAGTGATCTCCCTTTTATAAATGTCTTAGAACCCAACTTTACTTAACTTTTTAATTCACTTTCAGTTCATTTTCAGTTCAGTTCAATATTTCTCGAGTAAAACTCAAATTTTGTTTCGAAAACCCTTTCTAAAAATTGTAGTCTCTAATTGCAAAAAACCACCGTCTCAGACTTTATATAGAATTTAGCTGGTTAAGTGAACAAATTTGGAAATTTTAATGTTGTAGAACGTTTTATGTACTTAAAACAAACAACTAAATGTTGCTAGACATATATAGCATGTAGATTATATAGAGGACAAAAACAAAAACAAAAAAACAACCAGAAAAACTTCAATAAGGGGTTAAAAGCGTAACTATGCTTAACAAACAAAACAAAGAGAGATAAACAAGAAACCTAAAGCGAAATTTAACAGTTTGTCACAAAAGTAAGGCCACAACAAATGCTGAAGCGTATGCAAACTAGAAATTTTTGAACAATTTAATCGAAAAGCACACTTGATTTCCGTTTCAGTTTCAGTTTCAGCATTGTAAATATTAAACTATATATATATATATATATATAAACAGGATATATATATGGTATATATATAATTCTTTAACACATATCCATGTTAATTGTGTGTGTATTTAGTTTAAGCATCGACTCTGTTCTAAGCGCACCTATTCTCTATAATTTTTGCACGCATCTTAGATCAACTTCAATAACTATCTGACAATCAGATGTTCTTTGCCTAGAACAAAAAAATATAAAAATATATGAATAAAAATTAAAAACAAAAACAAAAACCAAAAAAATAAACCCCAATTTGTAGTATTTAGAGCAAACACTCAGAATATTTCGGGCTTGTGGCATATAGGCCGAAGCCGAGTCTAAATAGAGAACACACACTGTCTATGTCTATTACAAGAATTAAATAAAACTTTACTGCAAAACAGCAACAAGAAATTGTCGTTTATTAATGATGCAGGCGAAACGCTTTGCTAATGATCGCCAAGCCAAGGGCTTAAAGGTAATTTACAGTTAATTTATGCAGGTGAGTAGCAAGCAAACAGATTCGATTCATTTGCCACTTTGATCGACAGCAATTAATGATGGCTCAGCTGCTGCTGCTGCTGCGGTGGCAGGCAACGGCAACAGCAACATTTTTATTACACATTATGACACCGTGTTGTTGCTGGCCTTGCTGCATGTCAAATGGCTAACAAAGCGGGCCAACTGAGCCGCAGACTCAGCCATTTTGTTTGCACTGTCTAATGAGAAAAGTTTGCGCAAAACATTGACAATGAAAGCAGTTGATAACAGTCAGCGCGACAGAGACGAAAGCACTAGAGCGAGATGGGAAGATGGGTGGATGGCCAGAGGGAGCGAGAGCAGAAGCAGACGAGGCATAATACAAGCAACCTGAGACCCAAAATTGTATATGTGGGTTAAGCCTTTGTGTGTGTGTGTATCGGTATCTCCGTGTGTGTGTGTGTGTGTGTGTGTCTGTGTTTCTGTGTGGTTGACATTGAGCAGAGGAAACATGAACCCAATTTCGGTCTCAATACAAAAAGAGTAAAACAAATCCTTATGCCGTGCACACACACACATACTCACACACACATATATGGGCACACTCGCTCTTATATGCTCTTCCCATCGATTGTTATTTAAACTTTTGTTTGACCGAAACAAAGTCACATATTTCGATTTTTATGCTGTCCTTTGAACTAAATAAATACATATACATACATACATATGTACATACATACATAATAATGGCTGCAAGTGCTTATGTATATGACGGACATGAAGGTCGTTTTGGAGCGTCTCAGAGGCTTTAAGTCGGGCTTAAAGCCGGAAAGCAACTTTAATATAATAAAATAAACTAAATAAAAATGTATGCAAAAGTTTTATAGCAGATCTAACAGCTCTCACGACATCTTTGACACAAGTAACTAAAAGCCATGAGTAGTTTGCTAAACGAACCTTCCATTTATATTCTCAATTTCGCCTATGAAATAAATTCAGCGCAATTATTTATAATAAAACTTTTCTGCATAACATCAGCAAATTCTATTGTCCTTTTGCCTTGCTAAACAATGAATGCAAATAGAAAGAAATATATTTATGTATATGTATGTATGTATATATGCTCGCATAGTCCACCCACACATAGCACAGCCTTGCCTAAGCTCAGCTGCGTTTTCTCTGGCATATAGAGAAAAAATCGTGGCAACCGCAAGGCTTAACTAACCTTTTTTTTTTTGCTTTTGTTTTGCTTTTTTTTTTTTTTTTTTTTTTTTTTTTTTTTTTTTTGTGAAGCGGCTATTGTGTGGAATTCTTTTTAGCCGTTTTCGCTTTAGCCCGAGGGCTTCTAATTACTTTTGTTTCAGCCAGCGGGCAACCGCACGGGCTGAGAGCCTGTCGACCGAAACTCATTGAAAACTGATGCTGTGATGAATTGTGCGCAGCTCGAATGGAATTCAGTGCGGCTTTGTGCTCGTATTTATTGAACCGCAGTCAAATGAAGTGCATGACTGTGTACCAGCAGCTGCCATTACACTGACTAATTGAGGAGCACCAGCAGCAGCAGAAGCAGCAGCAATCTAACCACAACAGCAGAGGAAACAGCAAACTGTGAGCTTGATGAATCAGAATTTGCTGGCAGCTTTAACAAATTCTCATCACTTTCGGAATATTTTGTGCTTAGACGGCGCATTAGATGCACGAGCGACTCTCGAACTCGACGTAATTGCAGCAGCATGAGGAGGAGAGGCAGCACGCATACGCAGCGTATGACAGGCCAAAGGCATATATCACCCATACGCAGCGTATGATGAGCAGGAGCAGCAGCAACAGCAGGAGGTGAAGGCTGGCACACACATACACATGCACACACACGCAATTAAGGCGACCAGCTGCCAAAAAGTTTGCAATCTGTGCGCTTTTGTCAGGACTTTTGGCACAACAATAAGTATGTATTAGCAAGTTTTCTGTTCCGTAGTTTTGTGGGCCTTTGCCAGAGACGTGGAAAGTTGAATCGAGCTGAGCTGAGAAATGAAACTGTCCAGCTAACGCACAAGCCAAATGCGACTGAAGATTAAATAAGCCACTTGCCCAGCCCAGAGAGAAACTCAGAGAGCGAGAGACAGAAAGAGAAAGAGCGAGAAAGATTTTAAGCAGTTGCTGCTTCAAGTTTTTCTTCCTCTGCTCATGCATGCTTTTCCTGAAATTCAATTTCCCCCTTGCATTAAATGCATTAAAAGCTACCCGTGCCGCACAGCTTGAAGACAAAAGAAACACTGAGTGAAAGCACATTGATGGCTGACATCAGTTTCATGAGCAAGCTTGTCCCTTGCTCGGGAATCGCACTCAATATTGTTTATCATTTTAATAAGTAGCTGCGCCCGAGGAGCACACATTTCAGCTATGTATTTTGCTTGAATACGCGCGCTGGCAATCAGCTAAAAGCATCCAAGTGAATGCTAAAAAATGCATTACGATGCGCATCCTGCTGCACACTGAGATATCAGAAAGCAATTTCCGCTCTGCTCTACCTAATCCCACATAACAATCAAATGACAGCGGGTGTTTATGCAAAGCAGGCCAAGAGACGTCGTTGCCCGGGCAACGTCTCAATAGCTAATAGAACAACTCTAGCCAGCTAGCTAGCTAGCTAGTCAAGCAGGCAGGCAGTCATTCAGTCCAGTCGTCCAGGCAACTGCTGTCAATCGAACAAATAGCAAAAGCAGCAGCAGCAGCAGGAGTAGCCAGCAATAACAATCGAAAATCGTTTTAGTTGCCTTTAAATAGTGAAAGCAAAATGTTTTGGGGTCTGAGCAGTGCTTTGGATCTGTACGAGGAGTACTTGAAGGCCTTTAAGCTCAAGGATGAGCCGGATGCCGAGGCAGCAGAGCAACAGCCCAAGGCTCTCAATATACTCATCTGTGGTGGCGCCGATCCCAGGCATGTCATCAAAACGCTGGCCAAACGATATACCCATGTGGGCAAGCCAAAGTTGAAGATCTATTTGCTGGATGCCTGCGTGGAGATTATAGCCAGGAACATGTTGCTATTGGGCCTGGCTCTGGAGCCAGCCGAGTCGTTCAGCCTGGTGTGCAAGACGCACCTCTTCATGGACATCTATGGCAATTCGCTGCTGCGTCCCAGCTCACACCACTATGTGGCCGCCAAGGCGCGCACCTTGCTCAACATGATCTGCGATGAGGAGCAGCTGCAGCGCCTCGCTCCAATGCTCAATATCGAGGCACTCAAGTACAAGGAGCGCGATGGCCTCGAAATGGCCTTCAGCTACTGGCAGCCGCAGCAGCAGGTCTACGATATACAACGCTACTGGGAGCAGCGAGTGCGCGCCCTGCTGGGGCCGCGCTACGATCATCGTGAGGGCGCCTTCGACTGGGATCTGAGCATGACGCTGAAGAGTCGCGAGGCGCAGCAGATATGCTCGCAGGAGTATCGCTATTGGCGGGAATCGGGCGTGGCTTTCGTCTTTCCCGAGTACGAGCACTGCAAGCCGAACAAGACACTGGCTGCGGGACTCGTGCGCAATGGCCGCAACTTTCTGCATCGCGGCTACGTGGGTGACATACAGACGGGTCCGTTTTGCGGCTTTGGACTGCGCAGCTCGGAGGAGCGGCTGCATAACTCGGTGCACGGCGACAACGACTATCGAGCCACAGACATAACCGAGCGTAATCTACTCGAATTCTTTCACGAGCTGCAAACGCAAACAGTTTACGAGCACGACAAAGACATCTCGAGGCGCTACGGCTCAACGAAGCTGCTGATGACGCCGCTGCTCACCCACAACGAATGCGACGCCAACGAGAGCCAGCTGAGATATGACAAGCCCTGGCTGCCAGTGCCCGATGTCGAAGTGCACTTCATCTCGCCCATGGAGATAAGGGAGCTGCAGAGTGGCGCACCGCGTTGGCAGAACCACTTCGATGTCGCCTTCTTTGCCTACAACTATTACACTTTCCTGAGCAAAGAGTTCTTTGGGGCACTGCGTGAACAATCGCTGTTTGTGCTCGAAACGAAACTGTTGACTGTCGAGCGCAGCGAGCACATCAAAAAGTTCGAGGCGACGGCTAAGGAGCTGTTGAAGTCGGCGGGTCTGCGACCTTGCATCAACTATCAGGCCATCAATGCCAAAAATATGCAATTGAGATATAAGAAGACGCCAGGCGGAGCTGGCGACGATGTGGACGAGTTTCCAGAGGAGCCAGAGGAAGTCAAGGAGAAGGACATTGATGAAATGGGAGATTATGAGACTAGAAAGCAAATAGAAGAGATACAAGACAAACAGACAATGCAATCAAATGAAAAGGAAATGCTGGAGATAAACCAAGATGAACCACAAAGAAAGGGTTTAATAATAGAAGAAATAATAGATAAAATTCAAGAGGTACCTAGAAAGGAAATGAAAGGGACAACAATTGAGCTAACCAAAGACAATTTAATGATAGGCAATGCAAAGAAAATTGATCAGATAAAGTACAAGACTGAAAAGCTGGAGGAAATCCAAGACGGAACACAAAGACAGGCCTTAATAATAGAAGAAATAACAGATAAAATTAAAGAGATTCCCAAAAAGGTAGCAAATGAAAAAGAGGCGGCAATACAAGAGATTAAAAAAGGACAGCAAATTGAGCTAATTATAGACGATTCCCTGAAAGAAGAATATGAGACTGAGAAACTTGATGTGCAATATAGAGTAAAGGAAGAGGGACTATTGATTCGCGAAATAACAAATGAGGCTGCGAAACTAACAGTTCAAGATAAAGACGAACAGGAACCAAAGGAGCTCGACTCGTCCCAACAGTCGGATGGTAGTGAAATGGAATTCCATGACGCTCTATCAGAGGAGCCACTCGATGATTAATTATATTTGGATTTCAGCTACCTCATTTAATAAATTGTTCAATAAAATTAGCGTAATCAAATGTAGATATTTACTATTTCCTTTTTGTGGTTTTCCCTTTGCCTGACGCCCAATTATCTAAATTGAATTCCAATCCTTCCTTGTGTTGGCGCAGTTTTTGAGGCGTGCCAAAGCTCGTAGATTCATTGCGATTATCATCATACTTGAACAAATGATCGATGCGAACGTTGAGCTGGTTGGCACGTTTATTCAATGTCTGGCGACGTTCGTATTGCTCTGCGCCCAGATCAATGACCTTGCGCCGTGGCACATGCTGCAGTGCCGTATCCCAGTCTCCGGTTTTCTTCAGATCCAGCATAATATTTATCATTTGATTGAGGGTAAGCGATTTGCCCGACCCGGATCCCCATTGGAGGTATCGGTCTAAAGGCAAGCGTGCCATGCGCAAACCCAAGCGTTTGGCCTTCGCCAGCGAAAGCGGCTCATTGTTCACAGTGTCCACCATGGCTCCGATTATGTAAATATCATCCGGATTGTAGGTGACCAGATCCTCGCGACAATGGGGCGTTAGGTAAACCAGCTGATTTTTGGGAAACAGCTCTGTGAAGCACTTGGTATGCACATTCATGGGAAACTCTGGATTAAGCATTGTAGGTATGAAACGCTGAAGGCCCTGCATGCATTTGCCCTCTAAGTTAGCATTGCAAAAGTGCAGATCAAAGGGTTCGTCATTCGCGCGATTCTCTGCAAAGCTGAGCATCAGTTGCTTGGCAGCATTCGAGCATTCTCGATTGTTCATGTACGAATCGTAGGAGCAGTCCAGTACCATTTTCGGAGCGAACTGCATGGCCCGTGTCAAGCGATTGTTCTGCCAGTGATTGATAGTTGTGTCGTAGATCCGCAGAAACATGGACGTATGGCCCAGTCCATAGATTATGTGTGTGTTTTCCTCACGCTCCTTGCGCAGGTCAGCCAAACGGCGTTCTGTGTCTTCGGCACGCTGCTCCTTCTTGCGTTTCTCTGATGCCTTCTTCATTTCGATTTGCCAGAGAAACGCATAGTACTTGATGCGTGCCGATTTGGTTGGCAGGGTCAGTATATGAGCCCAGTGATGATCCTTGAAGAATTCTAAGCCCGGCACACGGCGTCCCTCCTGGTGCGCTATGTCTGCCTCCAGCTGCAATACCTTAAGCCTCTTGTCGCGCTGTTCTGCTGTCTCTGTTATTATATTTTCTGACAGGGCTGTAGGCGTAGATTGTGCGAAGGGGTTCACATATTTCTTACTGACCGGCTCCAGCTCAGATTCTCTCAAGGCGGCATTTTCGTTGGCTTTTGTTGTGAATGGGGCGCACAGGCAGCGCCTCGCTCTACTTCGAGTGGCTCCATTCAACAGCAATTTGGCTGTTCGCCATTGCACAACATTTTTTAGCATGCTTTAATCAGGAATTTACAAAATATACTGCCCTGAATGAAAAAGTACAAGCACGCGGAACTTAAATAACTGCATCAGCTGAGCTGCATTGCTGCCAAACATCGTAAGCTAAACGATGATCTATCGATATATACTAATGTTTGCGTTGCGCTGCGAATGGCTTTGTTATAGAAGAAGCTTCAATTGCCGACAATTTTTGCGCTTGTTTCGATTGGAAAACGTGTGTAAAAGTTGTAATACATATTTTAAGCAGACGAAAACGTTTAAATATTTGTCGCGATGGCTTTGGTTTGTGCACGTAAGTTTGGCCCACTTGCATAGTCATTACCATTGAAACGAATAAACGTTTTTATTTTCAGTTACAAACGAGGTACCCGAAACGCCTGTAATCTCGCCGCACTCGGGCGCCGTTTTCGAAAGACGCGTCATTGAGAAGTATATCCTGGAGAACGGCTGCGATCCCATCAATGGCAAGGAATTGAAGCAGGAGGAACTCATTGAAATCAAGACCCCAGCCGTCGTAAAGCCAAAGCCGCCAAGTGCTACGAGTATACCGGCAACGCTGAAAACCATGCAGGATGAGTGGGATGCACTGATGATACACTCATTCACACAGCGCCAGCAGTTGCAGACGACACGCCAGGAGCTCTCACATGCGCTATATCAGCATGATGCCGCCTGTCGTGTTATTGCGCGCCTTAAAAAGGAGCTAACTGCAGCGCGCGAGGCTCTGGCCACTCTGAAACCTCAAGCTGGCATTGTGAATGCTCCATCGATGATTTCGGAACCAGCACTGGCTGCCGAAGCTGGTGCTGGCGGTGCTCATCAAATGGAGCAGGCCGGCATGAGTGCCGAGGTCATACAGAAACTGCAGGACAAGGCTACAGTGTTGACACAGGAGCGCAAGAAGCGTGGACGCACTGTGCCCGAGGAGCTCGTAACACCGGATCAAGTGAAGAACTTCCTGACCGTTGCGTCGCATCCTGGCCTACACTCGGCTTCAGTGCCTGGTATACTGGCTCTGGACATCAACAGCGCTGACCACAGCAAGATTTTGACTGGCGGCAATGATAAGAATGCCACCGTGTTCAACAAGGACACGGAACAAGTTGTGGCTATACTGAAGGGTCATACCAAAAAGATCACCAAGGTCATCTACCATCCGAATGAGGATACTGTCATCACCGGCTCACCAGACATGAACATACGCATTTGGCATGTTCCCACCTCGCAGACGCAGCTCCTGTTGCGCTGCCATGAGGGACCCGTCACTGGCCTCTCGCTGCATCCCACTGGCGACTACTTGCTGTCCACCTCGTCGGACAAGCACTGGGCCTTCTCAGACATACGCACTGGACGCCTCCTCACGAAGGTCATCGACACGGCCGAGGTGGGCCTGACCACGGCTCAATTTCATCCTGATGGCTTGATCTTTGGCACAGGCACCGTCGACTCGCAAGTGAAAATCTGGGATCTGAAGGAGCAAAGCAATGTAGCCAACTTTCCTGGCCATACCGGACCCATCTCTGGTATATCCTTCTCGGAGAACGGTTACTATCTGGCCACAGCTGCTGACGATGCTTGCGTGAAGCTCTGGGATTTGCGTAAACTAAAGAACTTCAAGACCATACAACTGGACGATGGCTATGAGGTTAAGGACCTGTGCTTCGATCAAAGCGGCACATATCTAGCCATTGCCGGCACGGATGTTAGGTGAGCGCTTAAACTTTATTTATAAGACATATGGAAATGTGTGATATACATATGATATGGGCAAGTCTTCAAACCTTGTGTTTGTTACGCAATGCCTGGCGCAGCCGATGATGCTTCTTAAAGTGCTCCATCCAGTTGTGCAAACGATTCTGTTTTACCAAAGCACGGCGAGACATTTCCTTTTGCTTGGCAATGCGTCGACGCACAGTCTGTTCCATGCGACGCAGATCATCTGGCGGAACGGCATCCAGTTTACGCAGCAGTTCCTGGAAAAGGATTGGAGCTATTTAAGATTGTATATGAATATTAGGAGAGAATTGAAGTTACCAATGCAAATGTTTGTATTTTCTCCACTTTAGCCAGCGTGGTGTCCTGTTCGTCCTTGTAGACAGCGGTAGTTTTTTTGGCCACAGGCGCGCGCATATCCTCCAGTGTGCGCCACTGCTTGGAGGACTTTTGTGGTGGCGTCTTGGGTGGCTCCTTCTTCGGCTGCTGCGCCTCCGGCTCAACTTTGTTTTGCATTTGCTTTAATATGACAGGCACAATGCTATTCAGCTTTAAGCTCAGCTTGCTATAGAAGAGAAGAGAATAAGATGTATTCAAAAATAATGTAAATTCTATTTATTGTAAGAACTCACTCCTTGCAGTAGGACTGCTCGAAGTCGGCAAACAGTTCGTGTGCGCGTTGCTGCAGTGCATCGACACGACGCTGCAAAAACTCTGGATCCTTGAGAAACACCACAGCACTTGCGTTACGCTGCTGTGTCTTCTCCTGTAAAACAAGGAATATTAAATCTATTTATGTGTATCTCTTAAAGATGTTGAGCTTACGGCCTTCTCATGAAGTATGCCAACAATATGATTCAACAGTGCGAGATGCGTAAATCTTCTATTATAATTGGACACCTTCATGCGATTACGCTCGTATCCCTTGATCCATATGTCGGCATTTAAATGATTACGTTTCGCCAAGTAGGGTCGTACCACGAGTTCCATGTAATCGTTCACCTGTTTCACTTGCTCCAGCCCAGCTGGATGCCTTTCGCTAATCACCATATCGACAATATGACTGGGCCTCGTTAGCTTACTGTCCGCCTGTTCCGTCTGCTGCTCGACAGTGTCATCAAAGTAGCTAATAAGCTTTAGTAAATACTGAAAGCGTCCAAAGATCTCCTGCACCTCCATTAGCACACGCTGATGCTGCAGCTTCACCTGATTGAGCTCTTCGGACACTTTGTTCTCCTTCAACTCCTTGAGCCTCTCTTGTGCTTCGCGCATTTTCTTAAATTCAGTCGCCTTCATTTTCATTAATGCGTCCTCGGCAAACTTGCGAAACTCTTCCGATTCCTCGAACAATTTGTTTTGATACTCCACTTCCCGTTTTTTGTCCAAAAACATTTCCTGCGTGGCATAATACATGAACTTGTTTCGCGTTATCTCGCGTAGCAATAAGATGTCACTGTAAGTGGAGAAAGGATTGATTAGAGCAAAATTTATATATATATTAAAGTAGATATAGATTCACATACGTTTTCATCCGAAACTTCCTGGCTAGACGCTGTAGACCGGCATCCTTGATATATTCCGGATCTATAGTGGTGACCACACAAGGCGCTCGCGGATTGGCAACTTCACCGCGCTGCAAGGATAAAAAAGGATTAAAATTTGATTTCATAAAGTATTACAATCTCAAGATTTCTTACCGCATTAAAGTCATCAATGCTGAGATTGATGGGCTTTGGTGCATCTGGCTCCAAATAGTCCTCGGGTCGTATATAATCTGCAAATGGGATTCGAAACTATATATATCTAGATATACATATATATCCAGCTTACCTTCATATTTGCGATAAATTTTACTCTTAAACTTTTTCATTCTTTAAACTAAGCTACTTAATGACTAAGCAAATTACTGTAGAAGTTTGTTTACTCTGTTGCTAAGGTGAAATGAAACTGTTGTTGATATCGTTTTCTATCTCTTTTGCAGGGTTTACTTGTGCAAACAGTGGCAGGATCTGAAGGTATTCAATGACCATACGGCCCTCGCAACCGGCGTAAGATTTGGCAGACATGCGCAATATATTGCCTCCACCAGCATGGATCGTACTTTGAAGTTATATGCCATCGAATAATCAAGTTGGGCTATTTAACTTATAGACATCGGAGCTCAACATAGCCATAAGTGCAACATTTATATAAATCTAATTGTATACATATTTAACTATTTCCTTTTGTGCGTAAACTTCAATTTCTGCGTAAATAAACCAGACTTCTTTATTTCCGATCCAAAACTGAAAGTTTTAATATTTATAAGCTACAAAACAAGATATACACTTAGATCTATTCGAAACCGATGAGATATTCATATATCTACGGTTCACTAGGATGCAGAGATTTGCTTGAGTGGTCTTTCCAAATACGACGCCAATGACATTGTCTTTTGCTTTAGCATGCCCAGACCCACATGTTCTTTGGCGTAGAGGCACAACAACACACTGGCCACCTGCACGGGTTCAATTTAAAGTAAACAATATCAAAACACACAGAGGGAGACACCCACCTGTGTGATAGCGACGTGCCCACACTCGCAGTCAATTAGTACAAAGGTTAAACGATCTTCACGGAATGCATTACGGCCGTGCTTTTCGTAGGCAGACCAAATATTGCTCGCAATTGCTGCAGTAATACGTGCATCCTTATCTCCGTAGCCCGAGTAGGCCAGCAGAGCGCCCTCCTGACTCAGCAGTCTGCAAGGGTTACAAAAAATCTATTAAGCAGCTACATTGATTATTTCACTGTACTTACAGGGTATTCTCTACGCCACCAGTATTGGCTTGACTTAAAACTTGCGTTAAAGCTTTAGGTTTTAGCATTTTAAATCTATTAATCTATCAAGCAAGCAAACAATTTACGCCTTGAAATATTTAACATTCACCGTAAACGCGAACACAACATATGTTTGGTTAACAGTGTGCCGCGGCATTTAACAGCAGCAAAGATTTAAACTACATTTAATCGAAATACGAGATATTCACAACTCATTTATTTAATTCGTAAATATTAAACTGCATATTGCTATCAGCGTGGTAAATTACTTAAAATGAACACAGCTTAGACATTCACCGTAAACGATGACAACATATGTTCTGTTAACAGAATGGCCCGGTGTTTAACAACGCGCAAGTATTTAAATAGCAAAAAAAAAAAATACAAACATTATTGTATTTTATATACAAAAAACCGGCAGTTTCCAGTGAAGATCATCGCTTCTGCTTATTCATATGGCGAATTACTTGCTTTTCTCTTGAATCTCCCATTTTCTGACGGCATTGGTTTTGATAATCCATACTTATTGGCGAGCATCACTGCCGCTTGTCAAAATGAGAGATTATTTGATTTTCAAGTTGCACTTATAAGCCCTATAATATGACGTCATATGTTGTGCTTGATAAAGCAGGTCACGGCCTTTTTGCGCAGTTCAGAGTGTGTGTGCACTCAATACGAAGAGCAGCAGCAACAGTTTGGGTTATCAACCACCACCAGCAGCAGCAAGACATATCTTCTTGAATGCCAATGCTTACCTGCTTTACCCGCCTTCGTTTGTTTTTGGGGTGCATTTGGCAATGCGCATGACTCAGCCTTTACAGGACTTAATGCAGGCGCCGAATTCATGAATTGATGTCGTCACAAACTAAGTGGGTCAGCAGCGAAGCAATAGATTGCAAGGGGTTGGAGAAAGGGGAGGGGGAAATTACATGCGTTGCGATTTAAGACGCCATACATTATATTTTGTTACATTAAAAACGTTTATTAACTTAGAATGAACTCAAATTGTAGCCAAGTGCGGCTATAATATAAATATATATATATATATATATATATATATATATATATATATAGATTTGTATATATATTTTATAATATCGAGCAAACTTTGTTTAAATGTTGGGCCAAGGTGCCGCAATAAAGACGAAAACCTTAAATATTAAATTAAATATAACTATATATCTAAGTATTATGTACACTTTAACAAAAAAATACATTGGAAGTATGTAAATTGCTTAATTGGATAGTTTCTAGAGAACATTAGCTAAAAAGCTCTCTATGAACTAATTGCCTCTTGGCACATACTTCCTCTATATATGAGATTGTTTGGTGTAGCCTTTAGGGGAAGTGGGCGGTGCAGGTGTGTTGCTTGGTGTGTGTTTGTGTGTGTGAGTGAGAGGAGCAGAGAAATACTTGAAGGAATATACTGCTATTATATTTTTATAGAGTTTAAGTAAATGTTTAAACGGTATTAAATTGGTTTGTGTGCGCTGGACTCTTTGTTTTCTTTTGGTTTGTTATTCCGGTTATTGTTCGTAAAATTTATCCCATCGAAATTCGCCTCCTGCCTAAACTAAACTATATTTACGTCTTATTTACATGCTAAATAAAACATGTTTCGCCTTTCCACTCGACTCTACGAAATATCAAAATACACATTATGTATATATAAATATAAATGTTTTTCGCATTCGATCACAGCGCGCGCTCACAAAACTAAAAATTGTATTTTTTCTTTTCAACTTGCATTTGTTTTTGATTAGACTTGGACCAAAAAACGAAACATAGCTCCACCACAGGGACAATCACTCACGCCATAATCTCAATTCACAACTTTATTTTGTTTGGGCAGGGATTGGGATTTAAAGCTCAATTGCTGAAGCTAGCCAATTATTGCATTTGGGATCGGGCGCGCTTCGGAATTGAGTACAACGATGTCATTATGGTCGAGCCCGGTTCACCCTTCTCAGTTAGGACGCGTTGCGGCGGCAGGCGTTCGGTAAAACTTTTGGGTATGCCAGCACTTAGCAGAGTCTTACGGTCGTACAGATCCAAATTATCATTGTAGTAGGTGATGGCATCCCAGCAGATTTCACTTAACTTTGGTATGGTCATCCACATTTTGTAGAGATCATTGCGACGCTTCAGTGTCTCCTTATCGTTGTACTCGATGCCGCCAAAGATGTACATGCAGCCGTTGCCCGAATGGGCTGCCGAGTGGAAATACAGAGCACGGGGCAAACTGGCCGTCTGTATGATGGTCCACTGTTTGGTGCGCAAGTTCAGCTTCCAAATATCTGAGAAATAGGTCGAAAAGTCGCCCTAAGCATAAAGAGATATAGGGAGAGATTAGTTTTTGTTAAATTAGAGTGCTTTAACGTCCTCGTACCTGCAAGCCACCAGTAATAAAGGCCTCAATGTCGCCATTGGATGACTGGTGCTGCACACAGGAGAAGCATTTGCGCGGTCTCGGGTAGCCCTTATCGTTTTCGCTCCATGCGCCGCTGCTCCGATCCGGTAGTGTATCAAAGTAATCCCACCTATTTGCATCCAAATTATAGGCTGGTATACGCTGCAGATCATATACAGAATTCGAGGTGCCGCCGCCCAGCACAAAGATATGCTTGCCATCATAGACGACCTCGTGTCGATAGCGTCCCTCCGGATCGTCGCGCATCTCTGGCCGGCAGATGTAGACGTTCTCCCACACCTTGGTGCGCAAATCCAAGCGATAAACATCACAGGAATAATCGAAGCCAGTCGTACCGCCAATGGTATACAAATAATGCTTATGTATAACAATGCCAGGTCCATACTGAGCCGTCGGTAGATCTCCGCTGACTTTCAAGCGTTCGACGCCAACATTGCCGTCCTTCGTGCGGTACACGTAGCAATCATTCGAACACGACTCGCCAAAGGGATACCCTGTACCACCATGCGACTGCAATCAGAGCAAAAATTCCAAATTTAGTTTATCCAAAAAACATTTAAGTCAAAGCGGAAACCAATGTAAAGAGAAACGCACACTGCTGCGGCTGCTGCTGCATTCAATTAAGAGATAAAGCATGCAACAAAGAAGCTGCTGCTTATCAATAGCTGAGAATCGAATAGAAGGGCAGCAAAGAGAAGCAACGAGAGTGGGGGACACTGAAGAGAAGAGGGCGGCGATAAGCTGAAACATGTGTATGCATTATGGTATTACATGAAGGTATCTTTATGCTCTTACGAAATGATATACACACATACACATATATATATGCAGTCAATGAAAGCGGGTTTCAATGTTATCTGATTAACTTTCTAATTAAAACTAATTGTGCACTCGACGTTTGGGCAGTGCAACCAGCATAAAGTCGACAAAACAAAATCTCAAATGCTGAAGAGTCTACTCGAGCATGCCTCAACAAAAGGGGCCTAATTAATGTCCAAAACTCTACAATATGCTGCCAATACAATCACTGCTGCCAATTCAGCTTTTTTCCCGTCAAATCTGGCTTTTTCCGAAG